CTTTTTTTTTCCCCAAAACTTTGTCTTCAAAATAAGGGCGCGTCTTATACACCGGTGCATCTTATATTTCAAAAAATATAGTATATAATGCTTATATATGTTTTAAGAGGATTTTTATATCTGTATTATTTCATATGTGTGTGTGTGGTTACAAGTAATTAAATGAAATATTATCAGGGATATTTCTGGATCAATAGATTAGCTAGTTAGTTCTTTTTGATTTGAAATTTGAAAATACGTTTAGCTTCCTTTATACTAAAAATACAAGTTTTGACAGTAAGGTTCTAGAATTGAAGGCTTTGGTTGTTGTTACCCTTCTTTTGACTGAAGCACAGTTATAAAAATATTCTGTGTTTTAAAGTATTTTGTAGGGTTCATGAGATAAATTGTCTGGTGTGGGGTTCCTGTATGGTAAAGATGCTTTTTGGTATTTTTCATGTAACATGGTGGATACAGCTTGACAATTAGTGGTATTTGCTAGTTGCTTAATCAACCACAATTAGTACAGTGTTCCTCAAACCATGGTACATACAGTGGGTGCTGCCATGTACCTTCCATCTAGTCAGCAGTTCAAAGAAAACAACAATAAAAAAGTGGATGCTGCCAACAAGTTGCCTTCGCTATGGTCAGTTGTTGAAAATTAGCGATGTCGTAACAAAGACAATGTATGTTTAGTGTAAATGAGAGTTTAACTGGAAACACTCAAATCATGATCCTCTCCCTGATTCACCAAAGCTAAAACTGAGCAAAGCACAGATTGCTCACTATGTAGTTTTGTGCTTAATAGCAAACAAACATAATAGGAATATGTCGAAAACCTGGATAGTTGTAAAATCAAAAACAGTAATAACTGGAAACCCTAACTTTGATTAATTTAATATTTTTACCACAGTCAATTTAATCATAATTTTAGTTAATTTATTGTTGGAATATTCTAAAACAATAATAATTATAATTTCTAATTTTGATTAATTGATTTAATCATAATTTTCATTAATTTACTGGATACTAAGATACTAATCAATGTAATCTCTACTCGTAGGTAATTGACTGTATAGATTAATCAATTTAATAATCCATTTCTAGCTGTACATGCATACATTTTAGGAATGTAATACAAATGTTTAAAGACTATCAATGTAAATTTGACCCCTATATACATGCATGTTCCAGGAACTTCAAAAATTCACTTTCCACTAGATTCTCCAAAATTGATCTGACCAGCTGACTAACAGATGTCCCATGATGGAAGGATTTATGCCATCTGAAATTGCTAGACTTGTTTTAGGTATGATTTATGATTGTTTAATAATGCATTTAGTTACTTTTTTTTTCAAATTACAGGATTTTGAATTAGGAATTTTAATTTTAAATACATTTTCTGAAACAATGAAACACGCCTTTAGTCAGAGAAGGTCATTGGTCATAATGAAACACGCCTTTAGTCAGAGAAGGTCATTGGTCATAATGAAACACTCCTTTAGTCAGAGAAGGTCATTGGTCATAATGAAACACTCCTTTAGTCAGAGAAGGTCATTGGTCATAATGAAACACGCCTTTAGTCAGAGAAGGTCATTGGTCATAATGAAACATGCCTTTAGTCATGCCTTCTAAAGAAACCTGTGTACAAAAGTAAATCAATTACACTAAGATTTAGTACAACTTAAAAAAGAAGGTAAATGATTTAAAAAAAAAACTGTGGTAAGGTTATGATAGTTTCTTATATATCACAAATGAATTTCTGTAAAATCAATACTGGTTTTCTTGAGTAAGTGAAATTTTCTTTCAGTAACAAACAGAATCCTCATGGTACTAAAATAGTAATACAAAAGTTAATATATAGGTTGCTAATACTACATTATTTATCATTGGAAGAGTAAATATGTATAACGTTTTGTTCAGAATTTAAAGTAATGGGTTGGTGTTCCAATGCTTTTCATAACTTTATAATACATTTCTTTCGACTTCTTATTTTTCAGGTTATTTACGAGAGACTGGCTGTATTCAGACCTCAGAGACTTTTTTAGCAGAAAGTCCACACCTTAGAGAATATGCCAATTGTTTGCGTGATGGAAGAGAATATCCTGTAACAATAGGCAGTCAAAGTCTTAATCAGATTCTACAAGGGTATAGCGCACTAAGGGGAATAGGTAAATACTCGTTGTTAATTTTGCAAGTTTATCAAAGATTCGATTTTGTGTCTATGTTTATTTCACAAAATATGGTTGTAAAATAGATATGAATTTCACATTGTAAGATGAACAAACAAGGGAAGATGGATAGCAATTGCGTAGTAAAGAGTGACACTCGTAGAGAAAATTTTTGAGGACTAATCTTCAAAAGTAGTTTAGGCAAACTTCTTTGTTAAAATTCAGAACATCAGTTTGTGGTATAAACCTAGATTCCATGACAATACCTCACTTCTTCACACACTTTAGCTATCTTCTTTGTGCATCTGCCAGAGAGACTTGAGACAATTCCCACCTAATTCTGATACGATACCTTACCTGCGATTACATAATTGTTTCCATGGAATCCTATATCCTCTTGAGCCATGCTCATTTGTGACATTTACAATGGACTGCACATTATATGGATCCTTGCTTGGGATCCCTTGTCCTTATCCATACTAATTACATAATTGCTTTCATGGAATCCTATATCCTCTTGAGCCATGCTCATTTGTGACATTTACAATGGACTGCACATTATATGGATCCTTGCTTGGGATCCCTTGTCCTTATCCATACTCCTTCCTTACTCAAAGACTTCACCTGATGACGTGAAAAAATTATTCCCATAGTAGGTTTTCCTCTTCCTTTTCATCTTGTCTCTCTACTTTTCCAGATGTCACATTGGCGAGATGGGGTGGGTGGGTGGGGGAGCATATATCGACTCTCATGAATTCAAGTTGTAGGTACATCAAATTGTGTATTTTTTTTAGTGTGGTTATTTGTAGATGTCTCTTGATGGTGCATACAGTCAACTCTGCAGTTGCCTTCTTTATCATTCACCAGGGGGACACTTTGTCTCACTCTCCCTGTTTCCACACTGTCAACCAGGATTTCTGGGCTCATTCTGTACAAGTATGTCTAATAGCTTGTTCTATTCTGGGTGCCCTTATTCTTGTCATAGATTATCTCTCGAGGCACACCAAGATACTACAAATTCTATCCCCCCTCCTTCATCAAATGGAGCATGGTAAACCTTTGCCACTTACCAGATTCTTGCTGCTGGGGTGGTGAATCATAGAGAACCCTCAACAGCTGGGGCGATACAAAGGTGTACCAATATGGTGAGAAGTGGGGCAGTGGTGGCACTTTTAATACAGTGCAGGTCACCCCTCAAATACATTACTCATGCCACTTAAGCCCTCCTCCTGAAATGTTAGTTTGTTTAGTAGAATTAAGGTGTGCACATATATTTATATATTGACCAATATTGCATAACATGTTGCCTTCTTGTGCAGGTAGCATCTAGAAATCTGTACAACTGAGGTGAGTGCTCACTTTACTATACATTTATATATGGTGTGGGTGTATATATATATATATATATATATATATGAAATTAAATGTAAATTATAATGAGAGAGAGAGAGAAATTGCAACCACATTACACATTACAAACATCCAATAATTTGGTACAAATCACAAGGTGGATCATCATGTAATGTGCCCTGGTGTTTAGTAGAGGTACTAGCAGAAGTAAGACCTAAATTGTATTGGGGGTACACCATCTATCCAGTTTAATCTCAACTTTGCTGGCATCACATGATTAATAGAAAAAAAATAGCAGATGTGGGTGCTCTAGCCCACAACATCCCACATCTTTACCACTGTTTTCTGTCTGCAGCCAGATGTGGGAAGGTGGTTGCTCGTAAAAAAAAAAACTAATAAAAAAGCAGTAGGAAATAATAGAATACATTACATCAATGGGGGAGACAGCAAAACTGCTCTTGAGGTTAGCATTCCAGCTCCCAATATGATGTTTGGACATAAATACCAAGATGTTAAGGTATTACTATACTAAGACCAACCAACATTATAAGTATAGCTCTCATCTTTCACCCTTCTATGCTACTATCTGGATCTTCAATGGTTCTAAAGAGATCCACACAGTAGCAGGTCTTACATAGGGAAGGTGATATAACCACCACTACATTAATATACCTATACAAGATATGAAACGTCCAATAAGTAATTCCAATTATTTCATTTATAATAAATGTTAGAAATTATTTTTTTTATTGTGCATATTGTTACGTTGTTTAAATCACTATTTTCAAATTTGGATAAACATTTTCTATATTTATAATAAAATAATTTAACATATTTAATTAAAGTTTTCTTCTCGAATTTATGTACTAACATATAAATATTAGATTTTTAAGTCCTGTACATCACTACTAATTCTACAATACCTAAGAAGGTGTGAGTGAACGATGCTCTGTACGACATTTGGTGATACATTACTGTTTGGAGGTGGGAAGACCAAAAATTTAAAATGTAAAATCATTTCTTTTGTCATAAATATTAATATTACAATAATTATTCATTATCTTATTGTTTAAATCTAGATAATGTACTTCAGAATTTGATAGAGAAGTGTTCTCAATCTGTGGGATAAATGTGATTACTTATACCTGGATTATTAGTATTAGTATAATCTGACAGTACAGTTGAAGTGAGGTATGATCTGAATGCGCTCCAACCACACTACATGTATGGGCTGTTCAGTCACTTGTCTGCAAACACTTGAATGGTTTTGTTTACATTCTACCCATCCCCGAAGCACATATAGCTTCTTTGCCTTTTTTCTTTTATGGGTGAAGAGTGTACCCTAGAGAGAAGAGATGTTTCTTACCGGTGTGCCCCCTATGGAGCCCCTGCCATCAGGTGTCACACTCCATGGGCTTTCTTCAAACACCTATTGAAGGATGCTCATCTAGGTACAATTTGCACTGGTTCTTCCACCACTTCAGTGAGGAATTCTAACTAAACTGAGTGAGGAGGTGAGGTATCATCTAGGAAATTCACATTTTCCTTACCTGAAAATGTATTTCTTATAGATACTCACCACCTCACACATTCCCACCCATCCTCCCTACTTCTGGTGCATAATTTTTTTCTTCCTTGCCTTCTCAAAGAATGAAGTTTCACGAATGCAAGTACATAGGGGGAGTTATTATGCATGGAGGTGTGTCGCCTTCCTACTGACGGAGAGCTTTTGCTGCATGATGATGTCATTATGCAGTAGTGCAGTTCATGTGAAATAGGTGGGAATTTCCTCAAGGTTAGCAGCATGCAAATCTCTCTGGCAGATACATGAGGAAAATAGCTAAACTGTGTACCAAGGTGAGTATCCATCAAAAATATATTTTCCAGTTATGAAAATGGTAACATCTGTGTGAATGAATGTATAAATATAATATAAATATGAATTTAGTACGTTTTGAATGACTTGATCTAGAAGTTTCACCTCGAGTAATAACATTTTATTATGTACTGAGGGAAAATAGAAATCTGTAACTAAGTATATTTATTTACTTAGTTATTGTCTGTTTATTTGACTGTGATTTATGTATTACCTGTAATTTTGATTAGTGATAATTCAGGTCCTGCAGACAGTAATTCTCCTTACAAATTGGCCAAATTTCTTTGAGCTCAATATTACTAACACTTTTTATTTCTGAAATATGCTATACCAATAGAAATTGCCTTGAACTAGTATTGCATTTTAATTTTTAAACGAGATACATATAATTTTCAATCTAGATCTGTGTTTGTTATCCATTCATTAATGGCCCGGCATGACCAGGTGGTTAGGGCGCTCGACTCGCAGTCTGCGGGTCGCGGGTTCGAATCCCCGTCACACCAAACATGCTCAGCCTTGGGGGCATTATAATGTGACGGTCAATCCAACTATTCGTTGGTAAAAGAGTAGCCCAAGAGTTGGCGGTGGGTGGTGATGACTAGCTGCCTTCTTTCTAGTCTTACACTGCTAAATTAGGGACGGCTAGCGCAGATAGCCCTCGTGTAGCTTTGCGCGAAATTCAAAAACAAAACATTCATTAATTCTGGAGTTTATAAAATAATCATAAAATTGAATGAATAATTTAGCTTTGTTTTTATTTGTTTTTTAACTTTAAACAATTGTTGATTTTTCTTAAACATTCCAAAAAATTATGATTTATAACTACGGTAAATGTTAGGCCTGCTTCTATGATACTGACATGACAAAATCAAATGAATTCATACGGTGCTTTACAAGGTTAAAACCATAGATAATTCTAATGAAAGACCATTTATTTCTTGCCTACAATACATACAATGTAAGGTGTTTTGTAATAGGTTGAGTCAAAATTGGAGTATTGTATCAATTGTTATGGTGATTTGAAAAACACTGAATAGCCTTATGTAGATATATATATTTCCAACAGAGAACAGAAGATCTCTTGATCTTGAACAGTTCATTGAAATACTAGAAAATGCCCTGATTCAAGCTAGAAAACTTCTTTCAGAGGGGCATTCTACTTCACTTGGAATGCAGTTGGTAGTAAGTATGTCATATATTTGGGAAACAAAATCATTAAAAGTTTATAACTATTTGATATCTTGAATAAAGTAATATTGAATTAACTTGTACAAATTTAAGTAACTAAAATAGTAAAAAAGAATATTTTAACTCTATTACTGCCTGGATGGTACATCCCACCTCAAGGGATTATAGAAAATAAATCCATTGTTATTCTTCCACACATTAAAACAAACAAAACATGAAAAGCTTTGGAGATGATGTTTATTTAAAAAACATTTAATCATATATATGAAAATAAAAATCACAAATTTGGATTGTGGGTTTATTTCAGTATTCTGTGAACAAAAGCATTAGTGTTTGTGAATTTCTTGAATTTTTTTTAAACACAATATGGCACTCATAATCCCTAGGAGGAAAGGTGAATTATCATTGGACAAAACAGTGCTAATTGACCATGCAACTTTAATAAAAGTGTAGTTTTAACAATATTAACCAATCACTGTTTCTCTTAGTGTGATGTAATTACTTACATCTCAATTTGAGAAGTGATAGTAATCTAAACATGTAATGAAAGCTTTTTTTCATTTGTATAATTCAATAAGGCTTCCAGTTTATCAGTGATATATGCAGAGCTTGAAAAAAAACAAACAGTGTAAGTTTAACTTGTTGATATGTTGCTAGAAGAAAAGACATTGTGAACCACTTTTACCATAATTATGGCCAGGTGGTTCAGGCGCTCGACTCGAAATCTGCGGGTCGCGGGTTCGAATCCCCGTCCCACCAAACATGCTTGCCCTTTCAGCCGTGGGGGCGTTATAATGTGACAGGTCAATCCCACTATTCGTTGGTAAAAGAGTAGCTCAAGAGTTGGCGGTGGGTGGTGACGACTAACTGCCTTCCCTCTAGTCTTACACTGCTAAATTAGGGATGGCTAGTGCAGATAGCCCTAGTGTAGCTTTGCGCAAAATTCAAAACAAACAAACCATAATTATAGTCTTGATTTTTTAAAGCTTGCTTTACCATTTCATACTTCATATGAATTATGATGTTTCAGTGTGATAGAAAAAAGGATTGTGGAACAATGTGAGGTAGGCTTGGTTCGTTTAGCAGTGGACCATATCAAGTTTTGTTTTACAGATGCGGCCACTATTTGTTAGAACATGTTTGCATTAGTCCTTATTGGCCTGAGTAACTGCTTGATAGGTGAAGAAAATCACTGAAAAGAAATTGAAAAAGCTATGTATAACTATGTAATAAGATAAAACAGGTTTACAACTTGTATATGAAATAGAATCTTCTGATTAACAATTAAGAAAAAGTTGGCTTGCTTATAATATTGTGTGACTGTTATCGTAAACACAGTGAAATTGCATGTCATCTTTTTTTCTTAATTAAAAACAAAGAATTTCCTATAAAAACTGTAGAGGAATGTTTTAAATGAATGTAGGAAGACATAAAAAACAGTAATTACAATCTATAATAAAGGTAGTCATTTTTAATTGTTTCTCAAATATCACAATGAAATCTGTAAATTCATACAAATATCACCTATAAAAATTAGATATTTTATTTGCAAAATATCTTTAGAGAGTTCATTTGAAATTTCAAAATATTTCAACCTATAGACCTTTTTTTTCTTGCAATTGAATAAAACAAACCATACAACATGTTTTTCGAGTTAACTCACCCATACATTTACAGTTAATCAGTTGAAAGTAGTCATGAACATAAAGAGTTTATGAAAAAACAGAATGATAGAAGAATCCTTTTGAATTTTCGACCATTTTCTTAGTGACATTTGTACACCTTTATAATGTTATATTACGTTACTCATATATTTTACTTGTGGTAGATACGTTTTCTTACTTTCAACAGCTTTTTTTTTTCGCTCATTTCTGTTAAATGTATCGGTAGAAACAATAATGAAATATTTGTGGTAAAATAAATGGCTTATTTTTATATCCTTAGAATAAATCAGGGGTGTCACAAAGTACAGAAAGAAAATCACTCCATGATGACGGTCGGAACTACCCAAGTTCTTTGCAGACCGTATCATCTTCATGCAATGTGGCCTTGTGTGGTGGTTTTGATCGAGTAGATCCACGAAAACAGTTTAATCCACCTGCTACTGGTGATTCATACAACGTAAAAGGCAAGTATACATCTTTAACTACTTTTAGTATTGTGCTTGAGTTATAGCTGAAAAATTAATTTAATTATTGAAACTGTGTGTAAGGCAAGTACAACTGTTTATCAACTGGATGTATTGTATTTGAATTAGAGCTTAATTAAAAATTAATCTAGTGTTTCACAAAGTGTGAAAGGCATGTACATGTTTAACTATTTGTAGTATTGTGTTTGAATTGGAGCTTAATTAAAAATTAATCTAGTGTTTCACAAAGTGTGAAAGGCACGTACATGTTTAACTATTTGTAGTATTGTATTTGAATTAGAGCTTAATTAAAAATTAATCTAGTGTTTCACAAAGTGTGAAAGGCATGTACATGTTTAACTATTTGTAGTATTGTATTTGAGTTACAGCTTAATTAAAAATGAATTGTTGTTCTTAAGGTACCTCTTATTCACATGCCGATTGTGAAAGTTGGTCCCTGTATGAATTAACACTTATTCTTAATTTAAAATTTTCAACAGTTTACAGAGAAAAAATTTTGTCTTATTTTTTGAGCTCAATGCATTTGATTTATTATATAACTTTGAGTGTTTGGCATGGCAAGAGCTTTAAATTATTTTGTAGCTTTGGTCTTGGAACTTGACAGAAATGAGCAACGAAATGTGAATATGTGAGAAGATAGTGATCAAAATATCGTATAGTGTATTTAGAAAATAAGTACACTTGAAAAGTTGTTCATAATATTTTCTCTTGTAATTAAATACTTGCATTGACCATTGTTTACTTTCATTCTTTAAAAATGCAACATTGAATTAAAAAATAGGAAGTGAACTTGTAGTCATTCTTTCACACATTAAAAAATCGAAAACTTCAGAGTTGAAACTTATTTAATAATTATGTTTTATTTATTTAATTTTATACTTAAAAATAAATATGAATTTTGATCCATGGTTGATTTCAGTATGTTCTGAACAAAAACTTTAATATTTGTGAATGTTTTCTGAGCATAATATACAACTTATATACACATAATATACAGTATGTTCTGAACAAAAACTTTAATATTTGTGAATGTTTTCTGAGCATAATATACAACTTATAGCCTCTTAGGTGGCAATTTCAAAATATTTTTTAACAAAGTAACACTAATTTGAACCATGTAACTTCAATACAAATGTAATATTAGCAAATCAGTATTTCTCAAACTCAGTTGTCATGGTCGCGAGTTCGAATCCCCGTCGCACCAAACATTCTCGCCATTTCAGCCGTGGGGGCATTATAATGTGACGGTCAATCCCACTATTCGTTGGTAAAAGAGTAGCCCAAGAGTTGGCGGTGGGTGGTGATGACTAGCTGCCTTCCCTCTAGTCTTACGCTGCTAAATTAGAGACGGCTAGCACAGATAGTTCTCGTGTAGCTTTGCGCGAAATTCAAAACAAACAAACAAACTTTTAGCTGATTAAATAGTACGTTTTTCCATATCTTTCTTTATAGAATTTTAAGTGACTAATAGATTTATTAGCTTTTACAGAACCAGTTAGGCATAGTTTCAAGTGCTTTTGCTGTTATGTTAAAAACATTATAGGTAAAAAATCTACATAAAAAAAGCTTTCATTGTATGGTTTACAGCAACTTTATAGGTAAAAAATCTACATAAAAAAAGCTTTCAGTGTATGGTTTACAGCAACTTTATAGGTAAAAAATCTACATAAAAAAAGCTTTCAGTGTATGGTTTAC